AGCCTCTGCCATCTCCCTTTTGATCTTGCAATTTATATTTCTTAGTAACCGTGTTGATTTAATGAGTTGGATCTTTTATGAATGTCTTGAAATTCATTTAAAGAGAGACACAAGCAACGGGACAAATTCACTAAATTTTATGTGCCTAAGCAGAGAAAATCCCATTTTAAGAATTGGATTGTGGGATTGGAATTTGAATAGACAGGGTTCTACATATCATGCATTGTATCCAAGGGCCTGGAAAATATATGAGGGTAACCTAGAAAACATAGCATGCTTCCAAGTCCATCATGTTATTTTCATGAATGATAATGAGTCTGACAATGATCATTCATGCTTTCAAATATACAACAAGACCCATCACCAAAAATAGTTTGTCATCATATTTAACCTATCATGCCCCACAATTATAAGGAGAGTAGCTATCCTTTATTAGTTTTTACTTTCATGGTTAGCTATTATCTCCCTAAAATTTTCTTTTGCATTTAGATTTAATTATAAATAGTTGATTTTATTCCATTCAGCTAAATAATTTAGGTAAAACATCAACAGATGTCACCTTGCTTTTCATGTGGGTTATTAGTGGTGTTTCTTGTTTGCTGTTACCGTTAGATGCAGTCACTTATCTATTAGAATTTTTGTTAAAGGTAAACCATGTAATGATAAAAGGAAGTGAAGCACGCAGATATTTCCAATAGTTTATGAATGCTATTAATTATTGCCATAGCAGGGATGTCTACAACCAAGACCTAAAGGTAGGACTTAATTTAACTTAGTTGTTGTATGCTCACTATTTTTATAATCTTGCATGTTAAAAGTATAGCTGCTTAATAACATTATATTATTGAGCTCTTCATTTCATGGCTTCAGATAATGATTGTGGAGCTAGAGACTCTAATATGGAAAGATTTTAGCTCTCCAAGCACTTCTGCTTTTTGCTGCTTGCAGTTGATTTATTATAAGTTAACTAAAGCAAATGAAATCATTGCTTAAACTAACCTCAATTTCTATCTATCTATCTATCTATCTATCTATGTAGTCTTTGTCCCTTTTATTTTCTACAACTTATATGATAAATAGAGGATGAAAAGAGGCATAATAGTACCATCATGTTTTGTTGGAAGCATTGCTTGACCATGGAGAGATAGCTTATTTGATTTTCACAATGCTTTGGCTTTCTTCCTTTTCCTTGCGGTTTACTAAAATTGTTGATATCACATATTATGGTTATCATTGCTGACAGTGGTCTCTCTGGAGTTAATGAGCAATTGAAAAGATTTGGAATCTCCTTATTGTCATTAGTATAACAGAGGTAGCATTTTTGGTTTTTGGTAGGAATAGTGTTTCCTAAACTCTAAAGCACTACAAAGATAAAGTTACAAAAAACTTGCCTCATGATTTACATTTGCATAGAAAATTCCTCCAGTTTAAGGACAAAATAGAGGGAATAAGTTTTCAATTTTCAATACGATTGACAAGTCTCTCCTTAGGTCTTTTATTTACGATAGTGCATATTACGTATGCTATTTATGTATTGGCTATCCATTAGATGTTTTATCCGAGTATTACATGCTTCTCACTTACATGTTAGTTGGACTATCAAGTTCCTTTGCGCCTTGAACTTCATGTTGTTGAGAAATGAGAATATCTAATTTGAGGGGGTTTTTTTTTTTTCTTGTGTAAAAGATTAACCCCATATTGTGTTTTGCCTTGATTTCAATTTTTGAAATGATTTTATAACATTTTAAGTTTTAAAAATTTAGAATTCTATTTATGTAAATATTATAAAATAGGTAATCTATTTAGGTTATTTTCATAATTACCTTGAATTGTGGAGTTATTGTAAATTAATAAGGGAGACCTTACAACTTGATATCAAATTCTCAAGTTTCGAGAATTGGTCTTATAATTGTTGAGATTGATTGATAATAGTGGCACTGCTCTTGCTATTTCATCTCCCCCAACTCATGCTGTCGATCCTCTCCCCTGGCTAGTGCCGTCATTGCTTCTCCCTCCATTCAAATAATTGTCCACATCATTATCCATCTTTTTAGATCGTCATTCGCCGTCGCTACCCCTAACCCCTGTTTTGATCATCATCTAAAGTCCAAAGCTTTCCAGCTTGCAAGCGCTCTGTTCTTAGCTAATATTTTATTGTATTATATAATTTTATCTTTTTAATACAAATATTTGATCTTTTCAAAAAAAAAAATGAGTGTTGGCTGTTGCAATAAATATGGGCATCTCCAAAAAAATTGCATGGGTATTTTTATTAAACTAGCGACTCCATTATCTTTTAAGATACCATATGTGCAGAAGCGGACGCCAGGCGAATCCCCCCTTTACTTGAACCAAATAACCGCCAACCTTGATGGACGAAAAGCAAACCCAAAGAAATCACAGCCCTAATCTGAGCCACCAATGGATTTTATAAGAGAGATGCAACAAATTCATCTTGATATTTTTTCTTTGAAGTTTTGCTCTTTGGTTTAGCAAAACCCCAGGGGTGCATGATTCTCTGATCTTTCATATACAAGTTGAGATTGTTGGGATTTCTTTGAATATCATGCATCATCTTTACGAAGGTGATGTTGTGACTAAACAGACTGACTTCTTAACAGTGAGGCACAGTTAGCAAAAGGATATGTAGAGAAGGCTGTCGACGGGTGAGGGATGCAGAGAAGGTGAAGGGCTAGAGAACTCTAATGTGCCCTTCTTTAATGTCTTTAGTAATGCCCCAACTTCTCAATTTTATTTTTTATTTTTCTTTGGATCATTGGCTTCTATATAAAATAAGAGACATTTAGATATTTTAATGTCCCAAAATGGTGAAGATTTGTATTTTTTATGATTTTTTAAAGAAAAATATCATAAATATACCCTTTTATTTTTGAAAAAACATAAAAAATACAAATATTCACCATTTTGGAATATCAAGGTATTTAAATGTCTTTTATTTTATGTAGAAGCCAATGATACAAAGAAAAATAAAAAATGAAATTGGGAAGTTGGGACATTAGAGAATGACACATTAAAGACCCCTAGCCTAAAGGTGAATGGATATACAGCACAGATGGAAAACGCGAAAGAAAAAAAACCCTATAAGCAGTTGGAAGTTGGTGTAGGTTATCGAAGAGGCCTGTGAGAATGGTAGAAGAAACTTGGAGCCATGAATAAGTAAAATTATATAGCAAAAACTTGAAATGGTGGCTGCTAACTGGGAAAAGCCTGAAAAGCATCTAATTTTGAGGCAATCAATACTAAATGAATGAAAGAAGCCCTCCTCTATGAATGAAATGGGCAGGCAAAGCACTGAGATGTGAAAAATGGAAGCTTCAGGAGGTATGCGGAGGAAGAATATAAGGCAAGATAGAAGAAGTGAGATAACATGGCTGCATCCTCAAGTAACATAGGCCCACCAACTTCCCTCCAACTCTTGAAACACCTGGGAAAAAGATGCGTGGGTCCCACAAATCAAAACAAAACACACCACCAGGCACCAGGATTGGAGGCCGATTAAGTCAATGGGAAAGCAGATTGAAGATTAATCTCATTCATCTATTGTGCTGGTTATCCAAAATTTAGAGATAGAATTGATGATTTGATTGGTTTTTGTTGTTTACTAGAGCAGTATTCATGTATTGTAGGGTTGGTCATCTTACGTTAATAAAGGAATTTGATCGAGGTAATAGATGTTAAAATAAAATAATTTTAAATTTCAAATGAAATACTCCTGATTTTATTTATAAGGTATAGAGAGAAAAAAAAATTTAATTCTATTTGTAAGGTACTTATAAAATTTCAATGCTCCTCTTTACATTTTTGTCTTTATTAAATGTTTTGAATAAAAATACCAATAATGAGATATAAGAATATTTATTAGGAGCAACGGTGAAAACTTGTTAAATGTTAAGACAAAGTTAATGAGGTTTAAGATTTTTTTTAATTCTAATAAAATATGCTAAAAATAACTTATAAATAAAATTAAAAAGAAGAAAACTAGACATAGAACTCACGTGGGAATAATAAGTAAAATAAAATAAAACAGGAAAAAGAGCAGCTCATGTGGGGAAGTACTGTTCATTCACTGTTTATTGGATGATTCCAAATTGATACAGGTATATTGATTATGTTTGTATCATCATGTCGTTTAAAATTTACATATACATTTTATTAAATATTCATAAAAAATAGGGAAAAATTTAATAAAACAAAGTTATAGTTGTCCATACATAATTATTTTTCCTCCCCTTCCTTCCTCAACCAAACAAGGTACATTAAAATCCCTCCCTCTCCTCCCCTCCTATCGAACCAAGGAGTGTAAATCTTTATTGATCAAAGCATGACATTCAAGGAGTTATGAGGGGAAAATTTTGTTACAATCAATTGAAGAACGCTGTGGGGAACCAGTGACTGAGGGAAATGTACTATTTTTGTTAATAATCAAACGGTATGTTATTTAGTAGTATCATATATTTGAATATTGTCAAATTCAAGGAGGGGCAATCTTAACAATTGTTTTTTTTTTCATTTAAAGTTTTAACTTCCAATTTTATTAAAAAATAGTTGAGTTGTTCTATTTGACTTGAGAAGTCACTATTTTAAATTCTAATGTTTAACTTATATGTGCACATTTAAAAAAAAAAAGAGAGAGAATCATATTTAAGGACCTAATAAAAAATTTATTTACAAATAAAAATCAATATGAAATGGATTAGTATTAAAATGAGAACATGAATTTTTTTTTAATAGCACTTGTTATTAATCCTTATTTGTAAAAACGTTTCTTGTCAGATTTTTGAATGTGATTCTCAGGAATAAAAAATGCCAGGTCAACCTAAACTTGACGGTGGTCTTATATTATTAGATTTGAATGTAGTCAAGTTTTATGCAATTAAGAAAAAATGAAGATATTGCTCCAGCCCCAGCAAATGATTGTTTCATCCATAGTAAATGAGGCTAACCGAGGCATCTGCTTATTGGATCCATGAAGGCAAAAGTGAATCAGAAAAGAAAACAAATAAATGAGCTTAAAATTTTTACAAGGTTATAGTTCAAAGCTGATCACAAATATGCTTATGGATTTCTTGTAAAAGATTTGAGAACCGTCTGGAAAGTAAATGCCTCCTCATATTGCATATAGTGAACTAAAGGTGATCCCATGAATGATCATCTGAGTTGTGGATAATTTGGTCCATTGATGATGTCCTACTCAAAGCTTCCCAAGCCTTTATACCAAACTAGGAGCGGACCCTCCTGCAATAATTACAGGGCAAATTCAAAATGGACAAGCACGTAACCTGAAGATGGAGCCGCACTGTTCATAACTGAAATGATGACTTAAATGGAGATGACTTCCATCAAAAGGTTGTCAACATGATCATAGCTGAAAATCACATTCTATATGAACTGATCTGATAGTATAAGAACATCAAATATTGACATGTAGAATTCTTGGCTGCAAGTGGTGTAATCATAAAATATCCAACAATAATAAGTCTTATCTTACTCGGTGAGATCAGTTATATAAATTGCACGATAATATTGTGTTTTATTAACAACCAAATCTCTGGAAATACCGTTCACCAAATCCCTGTAATCATAAAATGTCAAACAGCAAAAAACCGATGTCAGGCATGCCACCTTTGTCTCTCATATGTGCAGTTAAAGTCTTCAGTATAATCTGAATATTTTCAGGTCTCAACTTTGATGGGTCATCTGAAACAAAAGATTGTATCTGATTTCTTATTTCAATCCAACTGCAGCCAGGCAGCTTCCCTGCTCCTTTGTCTCTCATTAGCACCCTCACTCTTTCAACTTCTTCCCATTTTCCAGCCTCAGCATTAATATTTGACAGCGTAATATAGTTTGAGGCATTATGCGGTTCGAGTTCTAAAAGCCTCTCAGTAGCAAATCTAGCGAGTTCCAGATTCCTATGTGCACGACAAGCTCCAAGTAGTGAACCCCACAATCCAGCATTTGCGTTGATGTTCTTCATTCCCCTCACTATTTCAAAGGCTTCCTCTAGCCTTCCCATGCGACCGAGCAAGTCAACCAGGCAGCTATAGTGTGAAGCCAAAGGTTCTATAGCAAATTCTTCAATCATGGCTTTAAACAAATTTAAGCCTTGATCAGCTAAGCCTGCATGGCTGCATGCTGACAACAATCCAATGAAGGTTACATTGTCAGGAGTCGTCCCCTCTAGTAACATCTCTTCAAAGAGCTTAAATGCCTCTTTTGCATACCCATTTAAAGCATAACCTGATATCAAGGAATTCCAAGAAATGAGGTCAATATGATCGGTATCTCTGAACACTTGTTCTGCTCTATATAGCTGTCCACATTTGGCATACATGGAAATCAGGGCATTGGTAACAAACAAATCGTTTATATAGCCACTCTTTAGAACATAATCATGGAGTTGTTTGCCAACTTGCAGAGCAGCAAGGTTGGCACAAGCACTTAACCCGCATGAAAAAGTTGATCGATCAGGTTTCTTTCCTTCCCGCCCCATCAGAACTAAACTCTTGACAGCTTCAAAGAATAAGTTATTTTGTAGGTAACCTGCAATAAGAGAATTCCATGAAACCATATTCTTTTCCCCCATGTCCTGAAATATCTGTATTGCCTTGTCCATCTGTCCCACTTGAGCATATCCAGCAATCATAGTATTCCACGAAACCGTGTTCTTAATGGGCATTTGAGTAAATAAATTAAGAGCACCATCCATTCTTCCACACTGGACATACCCTGCAATCATGCTATTCCAACAAATAACATCACGAGTGCCCATCTGATTAAAAATTTGACCAGCTTCATCTATCCTTTTATTCTGTATTAATCCTGATATCAATGCTGTTTGTGCTGCTATGTCTTTGTAGGGCATCCGATTGTATGTTTCTAGTGCCTCGTCAAGCTTACCAGCCCTAAAATACCCATTTATTATTGAAGTCCATGACAGACAATCTTTCTCTGGCATTTCCATAAATAGCTTAACAGCTTCGTCAATTTGTAAATCATGAACATATGCTGCTATCATTGCATTCCAAGAAACCAAATTCTTACTAGGCATTTTATCAAAGAGTTTCCTAGCCTCTAAGATCTTACCATGTCTTGCAAATCCACACAACATTGTAACACAAGAAACAGCATTAGGATTTGGAATTTTTTCGAAGAACTGCAAAGCAGATCTCAAGTCACCAATGTCAACAAACCCAGACACCATCAAATTCCATGAAACCACATTCTTCTCGGTCATCTCTGTAAAAAATTTAAATGCTAAATGCATTTCCCCATTTTGGGTATATCCAGCCAACAGTGAGTTATAAGAAACCAAATCCTTGACTGGCATTTGATCAAACATTTCCTTAGCATCATTAAACTGACCCTTCTTTGCATAACCAGCAATCATTGCATTCCAACATGCAGTGTCCAACTTATCTGGAACCAACTCAAATAGTTCTCTAGCCTTTTTAAGCTGACCCCCATGAGTATAGCAAGTTATCATCAATGCCCAAGAATAATTGTCTTTTTTAGGCATTACATCAAACAATGCATTAGCTTCTTTGACCATATTGTTATGAAGATAACCAGCAATCATGGTGTTCCATGAAATAAGGTTTCTTCGGGACATTTTGTCAAACAAGTCTCTGGCATCATTAATTCTACCATTTTTAGCAAACACTGATATCATGGAATTGTATGTTACAAGGTTTTTCTGAACCATTAGTGAAAAAACTCCAATGGCCTCTTCAACTCTTCCCAATTTTCCCAGCTGAATAATCTGCTGATTCTGGCTGAAAACATGTTTACCCTGTTCACCTATTGATCTAAGATTATGTTTCATTGTTTGAGGGAGTTATGAACAACTTTGTGACTCAGTCGTAGTCATCTACTGACCCTTTTTCCAGGCACTGTAAATAGGGTGCTTAGGTGCTGTAATTGGTGACTTACTCTCCAAACTAAGCAAAGAAAAAGACTTCCAGGGTGCTTCTACATGTTGGTAGCCTTTTATGGGCAATTTGGATTCATCAAGAGCTGCCAACTTGCAATCCATTCTTCAAATTTGGCAGAGAAATAAAAGACTAACTGTGACTGCAAAGTTGAGTTATATGAAGTGTGAGGAACAACCTTTAACAGAGTAAAGAACACATATATGAAAGTTATCACACTACAATTTAGACATGGCCTGCAATATGGAGCATTCTGGAAGGTTTATTATTTACGGCACATAAAAAGCATGGGATCCTACATTACATCACACACACACACACACATATATATATTTGTTATCTTCAAAAGAATACCAAACAAACCATGTTATCTCATACCTACGTATTCTAGAATCTATATTATAATATTCAAGTTACCATGGCATGTGATATAACAGCGTACCAAAAGGCTACTTAAAGTAGCTAACCCAAATCCCCAAGTAGTAGATAAGATTCCATTTATCATTAAAATCTTACAATTAATAAACTTTTAATCGTCAAGGATTTTGTTATTGCAATCCCAAAATGAGAAGGAAGTTTATTGAATTATGCCAAAAAGTTGTTCAAGATTACGTCTAATGTTAAGTTCTTAATATACAAATTAAGAACCATTATAGTAATCAAAACTTAAAGGCTTGAGGCCCTTGAAACTCGTTTCTCAGAAGCCAAAATAGAGCTTTAAAAGCCACAGTACTTTTACAAGTTAAGAACCGCTGATTCATGTTACAAGCCATGGTAAGCAAGACAGACACAGAGAGACACAGAGAGCTTTACATGCCATTGATATGTATTTCGGTCAACCTCATAGCAATCAAATTAAACCAACACAGATTCAACCCACACATAATTTCCTTGTTTTCCTTTTCTCAGACACCTGTCTTTCTACAGTACTCTGAAATTAGATAATAGTTATACCCACTGAATAACCAGAAAAGCAGAAACTCACTATTTTTCGGAGTGTAGAAATTGAAAAGGCAATAGACTTCTGCTCCAGTTGGATCCTTGAAGCTGCAGCGTTACAGTACTTAAGCGAAGAACGTGAGATAAGACTTAAGCAGCATTAAAGACCATCTTGTGATATGCGATACAACAACAACAGAAAACCTTGAAGAGATTATAAAGGCCAGGGAATTCGTGGGCATTGGAAAGTACAGGTACGAGCGTTCGAAGGTCCAAAACTGAATCGAACTAGATACAAGTCAGTTTTCAATGGAGGAGCTTCTTTAGTCTCAAGATTCACCTATGACGGGACTGGTTTTTTTTCGTGAAGCAGGAGCGACAGGGCAAGCAAAGAAACGCCTGACTTTTTTTTTTTTTAATCATCAAAACTTATTTATAAATTTTAATTAAAGAAAAATCACTGCATAAAATTTATATCACGTAAGAATCAAATAATTTTAAAATAGTTTTGCAGTTCTCTGATTTTTCTAACATATTAATTTTATAAGTGAAAAAAAAAATGAAATGCTGCTCAAGTAGTTAAAAAACAAAAAGTAACCCCTACCATTGTCAGCCATAAAATCACTACCGGCGATGAGGTCGCCAAAGCCCCTGTTATCGTGCGGGGTCGCCGGCGGCTGGTAACTAGAATTCTAACATTGATGATATTTAATTTGAGAAATAAATATTTTAGATGGCCAAGGGAAGGTTTGATTCCATAAACCTTAGCCACCTAAAAAGCTTAATGACCTAATGGCCACCAAACCTTTTAATAACATGTAGCAAAAAAAAAAAAAAGTAGTAAACTAAGCACAAAGCCACTTCCATGTAACATCATAATGGTGTATTGTCAATTTCTGAACATGTTATTTTACAAATATCACTTGTTAATCCGACATAGACAATTACAAATTGAGAATTTTAAAACTTCACTCATTTTACTTGTTAAACATTCCAATGTATTGTTGTCAATTACAAATATATTGTTGTCAAAACTAAATGGATACTTGTTAGTGAATGACTAACACGTACAATTAAACCCTTCCTATCAATTTTTTTAATTTGTTAAAACCATAATAGATTTTTGTTAATTTCAAATGAATTATTGTTATTTTTCAAATGTCACTTGTTAATCTAACATGGACAATTATAAATTGAGGACTTTAAAATTTCACTTATTTTACTTATTAAACGTTCCAATATATTGTCAATCACAAATAAGGTGTTGTCAAAACTAAATAGATACTTTCTAGTGAATGACTAGCACGTACAACTAAACATTTCCTATCAATTTTTCTAACTTGTTAAAACCATAATAAATTCTTGTTAATTACAAACGGCATTTGGTTTTAACAACCTGTTTGCAATTGACAACAATACATTAGGAGGTTTAACAAGTAAAATGAGTGGAATTTTAAAGCTCCCAATTTATAATTGTTCATGTCAAATTAACAAATAATATTTGTAAAATAACAAGTTCCATTCAGAAATTAACAACACATTATTATGTTATTACATAAAAGTGGCTTTGTGCTTGGTTTACTACTTATATTTTTTTTTTTTGTTATATGTTATTAAAGGGCACCAAGCTTTTTAGGTGGCTAAAAATTATGAGATCAAACCCTCCTTTGGCCACCTAAAAAGTTTATTTCTTAAATAAAATATCACCGGTGCTAGAACTTTGGTGATTTGCCGTCGGTGACCCTATCGCTAGTAGGGGCTCTAACAACCTCACCACCAGCGATGGTCTAACGGCCAATGCCAGAGACGGTGTGGTTTCTTTTTTTGTTTTTTAACTACTTGAGGGAAATTTCAGTCTTTTCGCTTATGGAATTAATATGTCAGAAGGATCAGAGGACTGCAAAGCTATTTTAAAATCATGTGGTCCTTATGTGATATAAATTTTATACAGTGGTCCTTAAATGCTATTTTTCGTTTAATTAAATTACACATGTATTCTCATGAAGAATTTCATCTAGGGCACCCTCAAAGGAACAGAATATGAAATTTCATTGCAAGTCCAAGATCCTCGAATGAAATTAAATTGAGAGAATGACAATTAAGTTTTTAAAAAAGGAAATTAATGACAGCTAGGGCCTTGATATATATTTTTTAAAAAATCAATTGTAAATATTGATTTAAATAGTTGTAAATTTAAAAGTTTCAATTAAAAATATGATATTTAAATTCTAAATATAACAATTAGTTTGCAATTCGGATTTCTATTAATAACTATTTGTATTAATATTTGTTATTTATTTTATAGAAAAAAATGTTATTTAATTTCTAAGATTTCTTCTTGGTAAATCTATACCAAAACATATTGCAATTTAGATATACAAAACATTGTTTGTGATATAATTAGAGATCAATTTGTAAATCATATTAATTAAATATTTTATATTTTATGAATTTATTTTAGCTTTTCAAAATTGAATATTTAAGATATTTTACTTATTAATTGTAATTTTAAGTTTATTATTTTTTACTTATTAATTAGTCAAAAAAATATATACAAAAAAATTATGTTTATTTTTGTCATTAAAAATCTCAACTAACTTTTTCAATCAAATTATTCAAACAAATTTTAATTTATCTAATTGACTTCTAAAAAAAATATCCAAACATAAATCACATTATATTAACTGACTTTTTCTCTGACTTTAATTGAATCCTAATCTTAATTGTAAATTTTTAATCCAAACATACTTTAAATTAGAAGAACAACAATTAAGTTTTAAAAGAGGAAATTAATGGCAGCTAGGGCCTTGATACATATTTTTTGAAAAATTAATTATAAATATCTATTCAAGTAGTTGTAGATTTAAAAGTTTCAATTAAAAATATGATATCTAAATTTTAAATATAACAATTAGTTTGCAATTTGAATTTCTATGTATAATTATTTAAATTAATATTTGTTATTTATTTTATAAAAAAAATTATCAAAAACCTAACTATTATTAATTTATGTTTTTAAGATTTCATTTTCATTCTCTCAATTTAACTTTCCTGGGCTCAACTACCAAAATGGCCTTGGTTTATTAATAAAACACTCACCACGGTCGCCAAAGCTCCATTGCCAACAAGGGTGATCAAATGTTTGTTAACTATGCCAAAGGAGTTTTGAACGATCCCTTGGTTGCCCAAAATACATTAAGCTACCATTAAACCACCAAATACTTTAAAATATATATTATAAATTTTTATTTTCAAGTATTTATATAAGTTGTTATTAATATTCGAATAATAAATCATCATTATGTGAATATGACTTGTCAATATTCAAAAGATCAACTTGTTCAATTTTTTCTAACTCATTCTTAGAATATTGACAAATTATCATATTAAATAAAATGTAATATATTATAAATTGAGTTTTCAAGAATTTTTATAAGTTGGTGTTCATTTTAAATGAGTTGTTAATATAAGGACAATTTGTTAATATGAAAACATGATTTTTAATATTCAAGAAATTGACAACTTGTTTTTTCAAACAACTTTGAGGTAGATGGCGTCCATTATGGCTTCAGCCATTATTTGAACTGTCGGAGTAAGGTAAATTTACTTCCATAAATTCATATTGATAACTTGTGAATAATTTATAAATAAGTTGTAAAAAAATTGAACATCTCGTTTATTTAGCACATATTTATAACTTATCAATATTCTAGGAATAAGTTGTAAAAAAATTTGAACAAATTGATTTTTAGAAATTGGCAACTTGTTTTTTTAATAGAATAAAGTATGGTAACCTCTATTTTGTTTTGTTAAAATTACAAAGATCTCTCTTTTATTTTAAAAACCTACATTTTAGTTTAATTGTTAACACCGTTAGAAATATTTTGATAAAATTCTAAAATACATCATTTTTATTGAAAAAATAATAATAAAATATCTTTGAATTATGTAAGTGATATTTTAGTATCTCAAAATGTCATAATTTTTCTAAAGTTAATAGAAACTTTCTATCATTAAAGAATTAATATAAATAACAAAATTACCCTTAATTCAATTATCAATTGCTATACACAAGTTTTGTTCTAAGATTTACAATTTTTCTTCTTAAAATCACAAGAATTCAACAGTAATTCATAAGTTCACATTTAAAATCTTGATATTTCTCAAGTATTGCAAATATCAATTGCCATTCACAAATTTTATTTTAAAATTCACAATTTTTCTTCTTAAAATTGCAAGAATTCAACAGAAATTTGCAAGTCAGCATTTGATTATGATATTTGCAACATTTAATGAATATCATGATTTTAAATATAAACTTGTGAATTACTGTTGAATTATTGTGATTTTAAGAAGAAAAGTTATAAATTTTAGAAGAAAACCTGTGATGATAATTGATATTTGAATTAATGATAATTTAGTCATTTATATTAATTCTTTTATGATAGAAAAGTTTCTATAGATTTCAAGGAAATTATGACATTTTAAGGGATAAAAATGTTATTTATATAATTCAAAGGGATTTTATTATCATTTTTACTATTTTTTATTTGTAATTATATTGAAAATTTTAAAACTATTAATTTACTTACATAATCTAATTGTGAAGTGGCAAAACCAGCCTAAAGCTTGGGGGGCCAATTTTTTTAAAATTAATAATTATATATAGTTAATTGAATTTTTAAATATATATTATAACAAGGAATTTATAAATTAGAAAATATTAGATGATAAATTATGTAAAATTAAATATAATGTCAAAAGAACTTGGGAGAATGAAAAATAAGGACCTTGAAAGAATATTAATGTCAAATTAAATTTTTTCAACACTAATGTTCCCAAATTTCACTACTCATTTTACCATGTTTTAATACTAAAAATTTTATTTTGATATTAATATTCTTACAAGGTCCTTTTTTTTCATTCTCTCAAACAACTTTTAAAATATAAAAAGTAAAATCTCATATGGTACATTGGTTTCAATAAAAAATTATCTAATATATAAAATAATTTTCATCCTGACATTCTAGATCTTTGACTTAAATTAATATGGTTAGTAACTTGTGAGTACTTTTTTGAGAGCATACCTCTTAAAAATTTAATCATCGTTGCATATTAGGGTTTGAACTCAAAACCTTTAATTTAGATCATCTAACTTAACTAATGGATGTCCAAGCGCTTGGTAAATTGATATTATAAAATACATAATAAATGAAATAATTAAAAATTAAATTTCAAATCCAAATTCTTGGCTTACTCTCACATCCCCAATATCACCCTCAAACCTGTTTAGATAACCCTAAAAAATACATTTGTTTGTGCTAAATATGAAATATCACTCAAATAGGTTACAAGTTGGGCTAAGTAATTAAAGCGTCAAG